CCACTATTTCTATGTAGAAACGCTCTGCTCTTCGTGTCTGCCTTAAAAAGTTGCTTTAGTGTATCTGAGAACGTATGATGGTGCCACAAAAACTTCATGGTAAAAACAGAACTAAAATAATGGCATGTTTCCTCGAACCCTTTGAAGCCCCTCATATGTCCACCATATGGTTACTTCTTTTGACAAAATCAAACAGTAGAATAAGTGACTTTGTTAAAAAATATGAAACCACAGGTTATTATTAACCATTATGTATCACTAATACAGCATTCTGCAAATGTTCATATGCACTAACCCCAGAGGAAAAGGGAAAAGTAAAAAAGAAAGCACAATTCTAATTAGATCTAAAAATATATCCCAAATGTGCTTCTAATCACTCAGCCTCTCTGCTCTGTTGCCTTCTGAAGTGCCTCAGAAGCGTTAAACACTGCACGAGAGGGGCCACGGGTGACGTATTTCCTCATTCTTTCCAGGTCCAGGCAGCAGCGTGTGCACATCACCGCAGAAAGGTCACAAACACAGACAGATGCCTGTTTGGGATACAAATGCTGCCAGGCTGGTTCTTCTCCACGGCACCTTCCACTCAGAGTTGTAAGAGGAATCCACTCGGCAGTTTGTCCTGTGCTGCGTCTGGCTGTGCCTGTTGCCTACTCTGAGACCTGAATTCCCAGAAGGTAGGCTCCACAGGGCCAAGGGCAGTTTGATTTTTTTGATTATTATTAAATCAGGAGCAAAAATAACCATAGAGATCACTGGTCCAACCCCCCCAGCCAGTATCTAGCCCTGAGAGACACCATGTGGTCTCTGCTTAGTCTCTCTTTCAAAGGGGCCTCTCCTTGGCTCCAGTCAGAAGATAGGACAGAGTTAGTGCATCCCACCATCTCGATCAAGAACAACTTTAGATGGAGATCATGTCTAATGTCCACATGACTCAGCATAGAGCCAGTCCATCTGGTATCTGGTAATGAGCTTATATCGAGTACTGAGCCTGCTAACTATTTGGTAACTGAATAAAAAGAAGAAACAGGGAGAAAGAAGGCAGGCAGCTGAAGCGAAGGGAATTCAGTTGCGAAGACACAAAGGTGGCCATGTGGCGGCAGGTGTGTGTGGGGTGGGGTGGTGGTGATGAGAAAAGACACGGAAAACAGAGGCGCAAAGAATGACCGACAAGTCACAGAGGCGCAGAGGTTCTGAAGCTGGAAAGGATCCCCGGAGAACGGGTAGTTCCATGAAAGCTTTCTGGCATGTGGTTCAGAAAATGGTCACTTCTTTGTGTCATGGGAAGGGCACTGCAGAAGCCACATAAGCTGTGATCCCACCATAATGAGTTCTGGAAAACGCAAACAGAGATGGCAAAAAGCTCAGTGGCTACCAAGCGTTGTACAGGGAGAACAACAGGGCTGCCCACGGGGCATTTTTAGGGCAGTGAAGCTATTCTGCACAGCACTGCAAGGGCAGATACACGTCCTCATGCTCTTGTGAAATAATCCATAATCTGTGCAAATACTTAAAAGAATCAGGTAAATGATGTGGAAGGTGGTCCACACTAAGGATACAGCAGACTACAGAATGTTGACATAAGATGTGGTTGTGAAAAAGGATACATGACTATGCATACATGGCAAAGTGCAATCTTGGTATGACCGCTCCACAGGTGTGTAACTCCCACCAGATGATGGGGTGGGACTACGCAACAGGGCACGTGGAACACTGATAGAGGGAGTCTGGTCAGTTTTCAACACCACTCTCTAGTTACAAGGATAAGCCATCTCTGAAACAACTGCAAAGAGAAATCCCAAGATCATCACCAGAGCACATCCTAAGACCATTCTTAGACCAGAGGTACCAGAGACTGTGGCACAGAGACTCAGAGGTGCAGCACCCAGATGATGGGGTACCTTCTTCTCATCTGGCCTAAGACTATCAGACTGAGGACCAGAGAGAGGCTTGTTGCTGACTGACGAGAGGTGCTGTTGTGGACCAGTGACTATCCTTACTGTCTACTGATCTTGTTTGTGGTAATCTATTAACGTTCCCCAGGACCCTTTGTGGCATAATAGTTACTGGTTGGGCTGCTAAGAGCAAAGTCAGCAGTGTGAACTCACCAGCTAATCTGTGGCAGAAAGACAGGCCTTTCTGGTCCCCGTTACAGTCGCAGAAACGCACACGGGGCAGTTTCACCCTGTCCCATAAGGACCTAGGAGCTAGGATTGACCAATGGCAGTGAACTTCAGTCCCAAGTATTGTCTGTGAGTCCGGATGACCACTGCAATGAATGATCAAAGCCAGCACAGATGCAGACTGCCGGGGCTGGTGTCAGAGCCGGTACAGAAAGATGGCACACGGAGGCAGGTCGGATCCCTGGGCAGCCAGAGGAGCTCAGATATGCCCCCCACATGCCACGAACTGAAGCATATATTTTATGTATCCTGGAAATTTTGGAGAAACTTTATTTCTGGTGCTGCTTTTGTAGGAGGGTGGAGTGTGCTGACAAAATTTTTATTTTTCATTTTATGTATTTCTTTAAAA